TCATTGAAAGAGTGATTGAACAGCAGAACAGGGTGCCCAGAGACATTATGGAGTCTCCATCCTTGGAGATTTAACTTGAGTGAATAAGTAAGATCTGGATAAATCTGCTGGAGCTGAGCTGAGGGGTTGGGTTAGATGATCTCCAGATGTCCTTTCCAACTTCAACTACTTGTGATTCTGTACATGTTCCAGTCTAACCTGCAGCTGAGATGCCTCCTCCAAAACAGAGTTTGCCTTCTGCCTTTCACCAGTAGCACTTGATGTTCCACTGCTGTACAGAGCTACTAAATATGTACCAGGCGAAAAGCAAAGAACAATCTGAAAAGCATCCTGCAAAGAGAAAATGTGCCACTCCTCCAGCTTAAGGCTGGTCATTTATTAGTGAGAGACAGAGGACAGTTTTACATTTGTTCATGCAGACACAGACAGCTTATACAGCACAGGTGTTCACAAGCTACAAGAATTTGGTGGAGACCAACAATTCATTTTGTACACGACAGACACCAGAGCTGAACAGCTCGATTTCTCACCACAGCCAATTCAGACTGCAGGTCTAGGGACTGAAGCAGACCCTGAAGAACCATGAACTGCCCGTCTGTTACTCGTTGCCTGCTATCAATAACAAAATGCCATCAGAGCTGACAGAAAAAACCCTGCAGTGTTACAAACTGACCTGCAATTCCATTTCTCTTCTCCTCCTCCCATTTGTATGATATAATAGAATCCACTTCCCACTCAGCAGCATGGTAATTAGATAATCAAAAAGCAAACAAATTTCACATGACAGTCCTCAGGAGAAAACAGATATACATGGAAAAAACATTTTAGTTTACTTAGGGCCATTCTGGCAACAACAGGCTCAGAGGGATATAATTAGTACCCTGCAAGCCAGCATATGAAAAGGCTTAATTTAACTGAGATCAGACCTAAAGAATAGCTATAGAAATTAAAAGTGAAGGCACAAATCCACACAGGACTGCAACAGCTAAGAGTTTTTATGATCAAGAATTCTAAAGTCATAATTCTCATGTATTGCATTCTGATTTCCGCTTATCCAGAAAGATAAGCATTATTTTTGGACCACTCTGCAATAGCTGAGGTTAATCAAATCCATGGAGGTCAGTCTGTGGGGCTCCAGCAGTTCTCTGTACCATGCAGGAAGAAGCAGCCAACACTTCTTCCACAGCAGTCTACTGCATTGATGCCTCCCTCTTCAATATAACCCATATTCTTCTGCACATTAAAACCCTACAATTGTTTTGAAATGGGAAGAAAGTTCTTCTATCATCTTCTTCTATCTCAAGTGTGGGGAAAAAAGCATTATAGCAGTCCTAATGGGATTGCTACATTGATAACACAGACTACTAATAGAGAAAGTAAAAATAGCCCTGCAATATCTACTCTGTTGTGACCAACAGCACACGCTGGAAAGCAGCTTCTTTTAAGCCAACCCAACCTACAAAGGGAAACCCCACAGAGGAAGATTCAAGTGTCAAGAAAGAGCTGTTGAAGGTGGCAACACAATCTGCACCTCAAGGCAAAGGGATCCTCCCACCACACCGACCGACCCCACGGACAGCCCTTCCCAGCGCTCTGGCTGACATGGAATCCAGCATGAAATTTGTGTGAAGTAAGGCTCCAGTACTTTTTTTTATTAGATTTTGATCATTTGCATTGTACTGCGGGCAGGTAAAAAAAAAAAAAAATCCCAGGCAGCAAGTTCTTCCAGCACATTTTGACTTTTCAAACACAAAGCAAAGGAAATGTTTCAAAAACATGACCCGTAAAGCTTTTGCTGCTCGCTGTTAAGATATGCTGTCATCAGGACAGCATTTTTTGGATGAAAAATGGTTATTGCTAAAGGTCACAGAGTTGTCTCCCTCAAACAAATTAAGAAATAAATGGCTGCTGACACTTCCAGATGATGATTCATCTGTCCAAGATCTCCAATAATGCAAAGCCACACAGCTGCCCCCCAGGTTTGCTGCAGACCACAGCAGCCACCAACTAACCCAGAAATCTGTCTTCACTCTCCTGTCACTTTGTTAGCCAACTTCTCAATCCTCTTTATAGACACACCAGAAATTCCTTATTCTCAAGCTAAAAACCAGATGAAAAACATATGAAAGTAACATCTGTTAGGAAAAACAGTTGTGTGTGCAGTAGCCAGATTTCCACACTTACTATTTCTATTATTACCAAAGTCCTCTTTACTCCATGTGAAGCAAAGATTATCCATGTATGAGACAGAGATGAAAGAGGCTGACGGATCAGGACCAACATCACCACCCACAGAAATCAGTGCAACAACAGAATAAAGAGTGTATACAGCCTCTTTGCCAGGAAAGGCCAAGTTAATGAAGGTTATTCTTTAAAGAGTAATTAAAGTGCTAGAGATCTGTTTAGACAACCCTCGAGTGAAAGGCCATCATAGGTACAGCAGAGATATCTGATGTTTTATCTTGTCAGAGTAACCTCTCGATAAAAAAAACTAATAACAGATTTTTATTGAGTGATTATTCTTTCCATCTTTGGTTTTTCACTGGAGTTTATGGTGACTATTTACTGATCTCTTCAGGGGAGGAGATGACATTTACTGTTCAGACTATGCCCCTCTGATCTCAAATGTGGCCTCTACTATCACTACATCCAACAGTGATTCCATAACTTTAGAAGAAAGATGCTGTTACAAATTTGTAGGACTAGCATTTGAAACAGAAGCACAGCATTTCACTTTGCAGCAAATGCAGAGGACCAATCATTTATGGTTTGAAAAGGAAAAAAAAAAATAATCAAGAAATCTCATTCTTTTTACTCACCAGTTTACGCTCACCAGTTCTGTGGTGCAGCTGTGACGATCATCAGCTTGGACACAGGGGTTTTATCATCTGCCCAATTTAATCATAAGAAACTGATAACCAGAGCAGTGACCTAACAGTCCAAATCCAAGAATGTGTCCTTTACAAACATATAACATGTGAAGTAAAAGTTTTCCTGGAACTTCTGCTCCTTCATGCGTTTCAGTTTGATGCATTAAACTTTCAGTTCTCAGTTACTGGGCTGAAGCGTTTGTTGGGTTTTTGTGTTTGTTTTGTTGTTTGGGTTTGTTTTTTTTAAATACATACAATGGATAAGTCACAAGCAGAAGTTTGTAACCATCAGCCTTTCAAGTCATGATCAGGTGTTTAGGACTTAACTGCCTTCTGAAGACTAAGACCTATTTAAACCCAGTGAGGGATGTGGAAGCCAACCCCAGCGTGGTTAAGTAAGAAAAATGCAGGTACAGAACTGACAGCACTGAAGGAAGTTTCATCCTAAACATTGTCCCAATGTGCATAAATCAACTGTGCTAACAGGAAAATACTGTTTAAAAAAAACAAACCAACCAAAAAAAAAAAACACAAACCCCAAACAACCAGAAAACCCACATCAAGTTTTTATTAGCACTCTCTTTGCCTAAGTGTCATTCTCTTCCCTTGACAATTTAGCTCAGTGTCCAGCACCAGCAGTCTTTTATATACACCTATAAACAGCTGCTGCATACAAATTGATCTCAGCTACTTCTTGCAACCTTTGTGGCAAAGCTGGGCAACCGACAGAGAAGAAGAGCTTGTATCTTATCAGAGACAGGTGGAACAGCAAGAGCAAGCTGGACAAACAGCACAGGTACAGATTGATGAGCAGCAGGGGTGGGAGCCAGGAGGGCTGGCTGGAAGGGCATATCTAGAAAACAAGGAAAACAGATCCACAGGAAACCAGATTTCATTACTTCTGCTTCTCTGAAAAGGACCCCATTTGTACAATTTAGCTGTGGTTACAGCATGAGCTTGTCTAATTTGCTTCTAGACTGAGTAGCAATAAAGAGAACTTGTTAGGAGGGTGGGTTTTTCTTCTCTCAGCTTAGCTCAAAAGAAATCCTCTAAAGAAATACCTATTTCATATAAAATTGATTTGTTCAGAGCAGCATGCCTCGCTTCCAAACTAATGAGAGAAGTACTTTGGAACAAACACTACAGCTTTGGGTAGTGCCTATTTGGAAGTCAGTAAAGGTCAGAACACTGAACACACACAAGCTTGTTTCCAAGCTCGTTTAGCAGCTTCCTACATGTCAGATTTTTTGGAGATGTATCCTTTAGTATCTGTATAGAGAGCTCTTTTCCCTCAGTTGAGTAATACCAGTGGTTTGAACTCTGCAGCTCATAAAACTAAATAGTCTTAGTAACTTCAAAGGAGAAAATAGAGTTGCTAGATCTGACCATAACCCCTTAAGGTCACTGTACCCTCTTCAACACAAGAGAACACCAGCTACTTCAGAGGACTTGCCATGGGATCTCTCCAGCTACCCGATGTCTACATGATAGAGGCATTCACTATTCCTTCACCTGCCTCTTCCACCAAAGCAAGGGTGCAAACTACAAGACAAAGTGTTAATTTGCATCATGTAGCATTTAAACAGTTCAGAGAAAAAGATCTCTTGTCTTTCTGCTACAGCACAAGTAGATTCAGTAACCACACACACAGACTGCTGCTGCAATGACAAGTGGTTGTTCCCTTTGTGGTGATAAGTTGTGCCAGCAATTCCAGGCCTTTGCATTTGGCACTTCATCCCAATCCAAAGTGACTACTCCAGGCAACAGTACAAAATAAGGAGTGAAGTTTACGGAGAGGGGGGAATAGCTCACTTCTTTTCTTTTGTTATTCCAAGCATCATAGCATTAACCCCAGGGTTAAATGTAAGGGCTACACACACTCTTAGCAGAATATTAAAACCAGCTTCCCTGTTTTTTTCACACCATCCTTCACATCACAGGACAGCTCATGTCGGCTACAGCTAAACCAGCACACCCAGAATATGGAACACGAGGGGTTTTTTTTTCTTTCAAAGGTACTAGAGCAAGATTCACCTGAGTAAAAAACCTCAAGTCATTATACACATATTTGCAAGTTCATCGATCCCCTAGGCAGGGAAACATGGTGCTGTCACACAGAAACCATCATACCTCTGTCACTGAAGTCATCCACCAGCACTACCTCTGCTATCAGCTCAGGAGGGGAGCGGTTGAGGACACTGTGCACTGTCCGGAGCAGAGAGGACCATCCTTCGTTGTGGAACGGAATTATCACACTCGTGTTCGGAAGCTTCTCCAGGTACAGCTTATTTTTGCAGCTGGACACAGACAGAGCAAGTCAAAAGGAGCTGCCGAAAAACACCGGCACTTCCATACTAATTACCATCAAGCAACTTAGTTCATTCTTTACTCCCCAAATTGATGCAAGGTACCCGAAAAAAATCCAGCGACTTTCAGGACTTATCAAGCCAGTGCTGACCTGATCTAGTCTACCTGGCCTAAATAAGACCCAGCAATTCCAGGTGAAGTAGAGACTGTTAATGGTCAATGACACTTAGCAATACACAAAGTCAGGGGGATCAGTTCTGCAGGCAGAAGTGAAGGCAGCTGGGCTTTGAACACAAATCACCAGAGGATTTGGATAAAGCTGGAGAGTTAGGTCTGCAGAGGTATGGACCCCTTGAATTTGGAGTATTTCCCCACAGCATTAACCTTAATTTTGAAATAAGGGTAATGCTCTCTTGCATTGTGAGGTTATTTTCAAGGCAGTTTCATAAAGAAAATTCCAACTGCAGCATAAAGGGCAGTGTTTATTTCCTGCTCATGTGGCCCTAAGTGGAGTTTGAACCTTGTTAAAAAGGTAACAAAGGCCGCACAACGAGCAATTGTAGTTAAAAAAATACCTGTAGCTGTTCATTTGGGGTCAAAAATCTATTCCATTCCTAGAACCTCATGTGTCCAGTACAAAACAGAGGTGGTTATGTGAGTGGAGGTGCCTGGAGTGTAGTAAATGACAGTGGCAGCAGGACCAGCTGTCCCCTGCCCAGGAGCAGGGGAGGGAGGTCACACTCTGCTCTCTGCCCCACCACAAGACTGCACCTCTTGCACAGCCACCAGAGCTGATCTGCAGACCCTCAGTGAGGATGTGTGCACAATTCAGTGCTTACACACAGTAATTCCCTCCCTGTTCCCCGGAAGGGCAGACGGGAATGAAAGCGGCTCTGGCAGGGGCAGCTTTTTCCTGGTACCTTTCCCAGGGAAGGGAGAAGGATGCACGTATGTTATACAAGTTCAGTACATCTGTGGCTACAGGAAGTTACTCTGGTGCCTGTGTGAGTGGACAGTAGCTTATTCTGGGTGTAATGAATTGTCCTGGGGTGCTGCCAAGAGCTTGCAGGCTGTGGCTGCAATGCACAGATGCAAGATGCAAACTGAAGCTGCATGGACTGCTTTCATCCAGCCCTTGGCATTGCCATCCTAACCTTCTTCTGATGGCTACTGGCTGTAATTCTGTTCCAATATGAACCAAGAGCCCTTGAATCTTTTCTAACTCTTCTTAAAGTTAGTCAGAAAATGAGAGTCCCAGTTTAACAAGTGGGAAACTTTAGCTATTAAGTTTAACCATTAAGCATGGAGAGAAATTGCTTCCCTCCAGCTACCACATCTACAATTGCTTTACAAGACCTGCAAAATTAGTATTTAATATTAAAAAACCCAGAAGCACTTAAAGAAAATGTTATCAGGGGAAGACATGACTGCTGAAACAAACAATTGTATGTGTGCACCAGGCAGATCCAGCACACGTCATCCTCCAGCTCCTCGGTTCCCACAATTAACAGAAAGCAGAGGTGACATGCTATTTGCTATATAAAAGTCCACACAAACCATCTCACGCATCAGCTGCTTCTTTGTCCTTCCCCACCCAGGCCAGCTGTTGGGGAGAATACCATCTGTGGCCCCAAAGCTTAGGACAAGACAGATGATGCATTTTCCCCCCAGATCACCTTCTCCTTACGCTCCCTGCTGCCTGCAGGTACATCTCCAAAGTCTCTATTACCTCACTGTATGCAAGAGGCTCTAAAAACACAGCTCCCTTCTTTCTGGAATACTCTTTAAGGACTTGTGTCTTTATGACTAGGTCTCAGCCTAACTTTGTTATAAATTGCCCTCATCAACCTCCCAGGTAACACAAACCACACCGTTTCAAGTATATCTTTTTTAATGGGCACAGCAAATGCACAGCAGACCTTTCCAGTCATGAATTCCTTTACTGCATATCTCCACTGTACATAACCCTGCTCCCTGCCCAGCTAATCCCAGCATCCATTAGGCACATGCTGTTTATCCTCTCCTCGAGGCCTCCACAATTACAACCTGCTACACTGATATGTCAAGCAACAAGCAAACTACTGCAGCAGCATCATTAATCACAGCTTAAGTAGACACTTCACTTCCTAATTTTAACTGGGGCTGGAGTTAGAAGCTTCACACTTTAAAAAAGTTTAAATAGCAAAATTAGCAACACTGAGTCGGCAATTTCAGGAAACAATGGGGAATGTGAGGTAATATATTAAACCCTCAGATAGCAAAATACTGGCATTGTCTGACATTTAAGTTCTCAGAGCCCAAAGCAGACCCTGTAAATGGAGGCCGGGCAGAATTTAGGTTAGTGAAGTCAAACTGTATTTCCCAGAACTTGAGTATGGGCTGATCCACAAACATTTTCAGTTACCTGATTTATCTTTATGTCTAAACATTTCAGCTGCATGCCTAAAATATTTATGGAGCTATACTCACTACTTTGTTTTATGTGTATATATTTGAGAAAGGGTGCCAAGCCAGTTTATTTGATTAGCTTGCTGTGACTGCCGAAGATGTAATATCTCAATTGTGCAGTTAAATTATAGAACCCGACTTCTGGAAATTATGTGAATAAAATAGATGTTGAATTCAGATTTACTAATTGTGATAAAACCAGCTTTACACAAAACGAGCTTAGATTCAAATGCCTAACAATGCTTTCAGATTAAGAACTCCACAGCATTTAAAAACCTCTCTGCTTTGTCTAAACAATGGCTAAGTCCTAACTGAAGCACTTTTGCTAATGGAAAAACTCCTTCTAGTTTGCACAAAATCCAGTTTAACACCATCTGAAGGGATAATGTCCGAAACCAGACAAACTCGAAAGTCAGCATTCAATTGGAACAAGCTTCTACTTGTAAATCCTGATGAGGCTGTTTTTATGAGGAAGATGTCCGAGAAAATAATCCACAAATCTGATAAAACTCTTCATACACAGCTGAGTGGAGCTGCTCCTATCTTGTTCTGCTCCTGAGCACTTCATGATCATTTCCAGCTAATGGCCAACATAAGAAGGGGACAGTGTTTAGTGACAAAGCCATCACCTGACTGCACTTAGGGCACCTGTCAACAGAGTCAGACATTGACATCAGCTTCACTACAGAAAGAAAAAGTTCCACCTTATTAGTTGCTAAGAGCTGTTGGCTCTCTCAGGGGGCTGAGCAACTGAAATGTTGAGTTCCAAGAGGTGAAGGAAGCAACCTCTCTCTGGGTTAAGTTCAAGATCTCTTCTGCACAGGGCTGGAAGTCTTTGGTAATTTTAAGTCTTTTGGAATCAAAAGGGGATTTTTCCCCCCCCCAGATTTGGTCTCCTCTATTTCCTGTTGCAATGACTATACACTGTTCTTTATTAAGGATACAGTAAGACCCAGCTGTGAAAGGACCATAGTTGATGAACAAAGGTATAAGAGTCTATACTAAAAAAGAACACACTCCTGCAGATGTGTTAATTTAGGGCTTGAAAACTTTCACTTGTAGAAATCCAAACTGTATACTCACTTTGGGTGTCTGATGTCTGGAAGGGAACGATTCAGGGAAATCTTATCACTCACAAAGATATTAAAGCCATTTTCCCTGTATGCCTGGTCCACTCGCTCTGCATCAGTCATTGGGTAAGGTTTTCCCTGTTCTCCATTTCCTATGGATAGACAGAAAATAAATACACATCATTACTACTAATTAGCGCTTAACTGGCCAGAAACTAATCCATATAGCAAAAAAAGAGCATCTTACAGTCCTTTAGAAATTCCTTCCTTAGTTTTGTGCTCTGTGTCATATTTAGCACCGGGTCAACTATGTCAATCTATCAATTTTATCTGATAAGTAGTTTTGCTACAAACCACTCAGCTGTGCAAATCACAGAAGTTAAGCATTCCTTCTAACACCAGAAACCGACAAAGGACTTATGGCAATGCTGTGGAGGATCTATAGAACACTTTTTGTTTCATAGCAGAAGAATCCATATGGTTTGAATACCTCAGCACTGTTGGAATTTTCAGCACAGATGGATATGCGTATTTAGAACCTGAGCTCTTGCACTGAGGGGCAGAGCCCTTGCAGACACACCAGTGTAAACCTGTGATGTTCAAAACGGGTCCTTATTTTATGAAAAAAAAACTTGCATGAATGTTATAGTCCAGAACATTTGTCTTATCCCTCTTCTTCTTTTCTGGATCTCCCATTTCTGGGAGAAGAACATGCCTATTTGTTTTTTGTAAGTTTTAAAAAAATCAACACTGCACCTGTCATAAAACATGAAGATACTTACTGATACATTTTCACCTCAAAATGGTTATTGTGGAGTTGGGGGAAAAGGAATTTCATTGGGATTAACACATTAACTGGCTTTAACTGCTGCATCACGTCAAGAACATCATCTTGACCCTGAAGTTGAACATGTTGTTTTACACTCAGCCTACCAAATAAAAGCAAATTACAATCAGTATTAAAACATTTTTATAGCAATCTTACATACCTACACGCTCAGAGTCCCTCCTTATAGCTTCGTTGTTATGCCAGTCCTTTTTTCTCTGTCCATCAGCAAAGTAAGCATCTTTCTTTTGCCTCATGTATGATGCCTTTTAAATAAAAGATTGGATATATTAAATACACAACACATGCAACCTTTCCTTAACAGCCTCCCCTTCCTGTAAGAAGAGATTAAACATCTTCCTTAGGGTAAGTTCATCCCAAGCAAGTGGCTTGTAGCCTGAAAGGGGGAGGAAGCAAGTTTTGCTTGTCTCAGAACAGTACTTTATCTATAGCTGTTAAGTGATAATTTTCAGGGCACCATCATGTATGCAGAACAGTATTTCTTAATCAGGGAATCTATTAAAAACTCCCATTTTCATTTTGAAAACATCCAATACATCTTACAGCGTTTTTGTTAATTAAATAGGATGTAATGGGAGACCTATTGCAGGATCATTATTAATGAGCACACTACCACACTTGAATAAAATCAAAATAAGACTTAAAAGGTCATTTATTAAGACTCTTGCTGCTGAACTTAAAAGCAAATTCTACACAAGGCATGAGCCTGAAGTGAACCCAATTAGAGCTCCTATTTCATGATGTTGTCTCTAAAATTCAAAAGCAATGGGTGCTTTGGAAACAAGTCAGCAAATGAAGGTCATCACGAGCAATCCAACAGCTCCAGCTCACCTCTGACTGCATAGGCTGAAGAATCACATTTACTGAAGGAAAGAGGTTTCATGAGAGGCACTGCAAAAGCCTCACTGATTCCCATGACACAGCAGAAGGCAAGTGCAGCCCCAGAGCAGCAGAGCAGTGTGAAGAACCACACAATTCTGTTACGGAAGGGCTCACCTGAACTTGCCAAACATAAGCATAAAACTGAATTGCTTAACCTGCCTTGTGGTTTTCCAGCTGTCCCATTACACATCACTGCTCTCCTGTGATTTCTACCTGCTGATAATGCAAAAGTACTTTTAAGTGTCAAGATGAATGTGTGATCTAGGAACCAAACGGGCAAGAGAGCACTGGGAGGGCAAACTGAACACAGTGGGCAACAGCACTTCTGGGGAAACAGTCCTCTAGTCCTTGGGTCTGGTGTCAGCAATGCCATCACAGAACATCTTGAAAAACATACACCACCCAAACCCCTAATGTTTACTCCACCTCGGGAGGTTACTGCTGCTTTTGCATAGTGGGTGTGAGCAGAGGCAGTTTGAGATGCTCCCTCAGGGTGTGATGAGCCAGGGCACAGTGTGGGTGAGGACCAGGCAAACCCATCAGCATCTACCCATGGCTCCACCCGACCTAAAACCTCATGGACAATTTGCACAAGCTCTACCTGGACCTTTGCTAGCTCGTGCCAGCTAGTGTGAGCAGGTCTGGATGACAGCTGTGTGACAAAGAAACAGTGGCAGCCTGGTTATTTTTGGTGTAAAATTTTCAGCACCGTGACGCAGCCACTCTGTGCTACTGCAACAGTCCAGCACACCTACTCGTCTGGCCACCACAGTGGCTCTTAATTGTTTGGACAACATGTCACCCCTTCTAAACATCCCCACTAAATAACTGACAGAGCACACTACTGTTCTGGGAAGTATTTGCCTCTGTTTTGCAAGAACCATCCTTTGCCAGGCCTGCTCTCTGGCTAATCTCCTCTCCAGGATACTCCCCTGCCAGGAAAAGCCCTGGAAAGCTTTCATAGACCAGAGCACCTCCTTGCCAGGAGAGTTTTGCCAACTTTCTGAGCACTAGGCTTGTGCACAAGTGTCATACTGGGCACAGGAACAACTGGCAAGTCTGAAACCTCAATATTTTAAGTCTTTTTTGTCTCTTGTTTATAGCACTCTGGACTGAACGTGCATACCCGGAGAATCACTTACAATGCCACTGTCCCTTCTGCCATTCACTGAGATTCAACACATGAAAATCCTTTACCAGCAGTTACTCCAGAAACCCCACCCTCCACTGCAGAGGAGACCACTGCCAGAGTGTCCAGGGACTAGATCCAGAAGGAGGAATACAGAGTGTGACCCTGAGCCTCACAACACAAGTTTGAAATACACCCCAAAGGACTCACACCAGTTTCTAAGGGAAGCCACACCACTGGGCTATCGGCTGTTTCAGGAGGGGCCTCTCTCACCATTACACAGTGTACCACCAAAGCAGACAATGCTCATCTGGCCAAGCAGCAGCCTAAAAGCCATTAAAAAGCAGTTCCAGCCATCCCTGCTCAGTGTGAGCACCCCCAGGCTCTGGGCTGGAGTGATCCTTGTGTTTGTGCTCTCAATGTAGGATAATGTGAACAGGGAAGTAAATTTTCTGCCCAGCTTTGAGCCATTCTTCAGAGAGGTCAGCAGTGTGCATGTAAACATCCTCAGAGCAAGCAACGACCTAATGCAAGCAATTTAAACCCTGCAATACTGAGTGAAAGCAGGCAGTAGCACGCCATCCTCCAGGGCTGTTAAAATAAAGAGGAAAAAAAACCCAGAAAAAAATCACAGAGACTGCCACTGTATTACACACAGCAGAAATCAGGCAGGAAGACAGCAGAAAGTCGAGTAGGTAGATGCATTACTTCTCTCAGGGATAAATTTACACATGAAAACATCTTTGAGCTGTGTTAAGCTAACCATGTCAAGGCCACACATGTCAGCAATTTGTAAAACTTTAAATTAAGCAATAAGGAAAACTATGAAGTACACACACCAGTTATTCAGACCTTTCTGAACTGCAGTGATGGACTTCAGAAGTACACAGAATAAGAGTTATTGATCCTTACGTCCTGGGGAACAGGCTCTGTACAACTCTCAGCCTTGGAGACTTACAAGAAATAACCCCTCCACATGTTGGTACCAGCAAAGTAAAACGAGGACTGTGCAGGGTGAGTCACTATCTGTTCCTCTGCCTGCAGAGCTCATGATGTTCCTGCCCTGCACAACTAACACCTAAAGAGATTCACACAAGAAAAACACACCAGGAACCTCTGTTGGATCGACAAACCTCTCCAAGTAGCTTTTAGAATCCTGAAGGTTAGACATAGCTGCAGATGGTAATGGTAGATGTGCTGCACTCTGGAGCTTTTTTTTGGTCTTGGGCAGAGAAGCTACATTAGCCAATCCAACTCAGAAATCCTCCATTAAATTTAATTCAACTTGGGTAAATGTTAAGAGGTTAGAATATTTCTAACAGTATCCCTCGCAAGCAAACATACGATGCTTACATTGGTTTTTCAGGTCGCTATTAAAACACCATAACTGAAAAGTCTGCTGAGTCACTGACAAGTTCTGTCAACAGTGTCTAAATATTAATTTTGAAGTGACTTTCAGTGCTAGAAAATGAATATCAATGTCTTTGCTTCAGCGACCTTGCCAGCCCTCACGATCCACACAGCCCCAAAGGGAAGGTGTAGCTGCAGTAGCCTGATTAGCATTGTATTTCTTAAGAACCACACTTTGAAGACCAACCTAATTTCAACAGACTACCAAAAAAAGTCAGTGTGAATGATAAAACACTGCCTCCCCTCCCTAAGTGCAGATTTTATGCTCATGTCATCACTATTGGCAGAACAGTGTGAAGGGTTGTGGGTACGATGCCATCATGGGCAGAGGGAAGTTGTGCACATATGTCCTCAAAGTCCCTCTCATTGGGAGAATGGGCAGGTTGCTGACATTGATGCAGTTTTGGAAGCTCTTTTTTTCCTTTCTTTCCTTTTGTTTTTTTTCTTCTCATTTTTGTAAAAGATGTCTGAGCTCTAGAAACACAGACAGCATACAGGGACCAGAATGTTGCTTTTTTTAGTGGTTTCCTTCAGGGATGCTGCATGGAATTTGACTCAATTATGCAAATTACATAACTTGATGATACTCCTTCAACAGACACTCTAGACTGTGATATCCAAGCAATCTGCAAAACACAGCAAGTTTCCTACGACTGACTTTTGCTTTAACTATTAAACAAGCATCTCATTTATGGGGAGCCATACCATACATATAATGCTGTTTTCCATCTCAATTTTCACTCTTATCCTAATTTTCCATTAATTCTAACTGCATGACAGGAGGCATAACATTTTTGTCCAAACCTACCAGCACATCTGCCCTTATCTGCATTTTAACTGGGGAATGCAGCACCCATTGTTTGACCATTGCAGCTCTCCATGCTGCATGGTTAGGGTAAAGTGACATTATGGATCTGGACTTCTGTCCCTATAAAAGAGGTCAGCAATTTTCTGTCTTGCTCTACGTTAGCTACCCATTTTGCAAAAATATCATTGTTTTCTTAAATGGTCAGTTGTAAGCAACATGCAAAAAGCACATTTTGAATCATGCAGGCTTCATTATGATCATCTAGTCAGACTATGTAAGTGCACAAGCCATTGAATTCTATCCATTAACTCCTACAACAAGCCCATAAGTTCTATTTCAGCTCAAGCACATTTTCTTTTCCTTAAGAACTGGATGTTGTTTACCACTAAGGAGTGATTACTTCTGCAGCAATATCTTAAACTGTTCTCCTGCCTGTTTCAAGCCTTCATTTTTTAAAAACTGAAAATGAACTAAAGTAGAAAGGCATATTAAGCAATACATTGAAAATGGATTTAGACAGATTGCTGTAAATAAGCCCCTTCTGTTGTCTACCACGCTGTTACTTAACACGCTGCCAAAGCAATTGATCAGCATTCAAATGCCAAATGCACAAAAATGGAATTTTAATTTTTTGTTTAATCACTATTTAGTGTGCCTGGTTCCAGCCAAAAAAAAAAAAAAAAAGTGTGGATGGAGATGTAAGCCAAGAGTTTTCTACACATGAGGAAAAAAAGACTTGCTGAAGCACATTCGCAAATCATGATGGTGTACAGATCTCAAACCCTGTTCAAACACTTGTTTTGCTGATTTATTATTTTCTTTTGAAACAAGGAGCTGTGATCAGACTCGAGAAGCTATGATCTTTGGAGACAGTGTTAAAGGGAGCATCTGTTCCATCCCAGGCCTCTTCATTTATACCAGCACCTCAGCAAGTCTCTCTTGCGCTGATATCCTACAACAAGATGTTGAAGATAACAAAACAATTAAAGAAAAATGGCAGAGAAAGGGAGAGCAAA